AAAGACCCTACGGACTTATCGGAAAGACCCTACGGACTTATCGGAAAAAACCTCACTACTTGTCGAAAAAACCCCACTTTCGGAGTAACTTTACTAAAAGTAGTAAGGTTTTTTCTGAAAAATAGTATATATATATATAATATAATAGTATATATATATATATATATATATAAAAATTATATAATATTCACGTATTATTTTTCATAAATTATTTTGAAAACGTTATGCTATTTCATTTATGTTTTTGAACGTGTTTAAAATATAACTGAAAATTCTGTGAGGCAATTTTCTTTTTCTTTTTATCTGTGTATCTATAAATATCTGATACATAATAATTTATTTTTTGTGTATTTTTTGAAATTTGTATTACCTCTTAAAAATTTCTCATAGAAGAAAAAATAGAATAATATGTAGGAGTAATTTTACCTCGAATAAAATAGTTAACACGACCAAACCATTTCTGTGTTCAGAAGCAACAAGGTCATTTATGTAATCGTCATTGTAATGAACCAGATGCAATTCCAAAGGATAACGTTTATCGTCAATAGTGTGTTCAGATCCCCAATGAAAATGCATTTGAACGAACGTATAATTAGCTGAGAGATGTTTGATTTCCAATTGCATTGGATACTCGAATAGATCGACTCTTACTGTTGAAAAGAAAAAGAAAAAAAGAATAAAAAAGAATTAGATTAATTTAAACAAAAAATGAAAATAAAATAACAGTTTAAGAAATATTTATGAAAATAATTTAATTAATTATATTCATTTATTTAAATATATTAAAATATATACTTAAATATATAAAAATTCCAATTAAATAAATACAAAATAATTCAAATATATATAATAAATAAAATAATTTAAATATATATATATATATAATTTATTATTATAAATAATAATTTATTAATTATTCTATTTAATCACAAAAATATTAATTATAAACTAATAAATGTGTTGATATTAAATTATTTAATAATATAATATTAAATATTGTTAACTTACTTGTATGTCCAGAATTAGTAACTTTTCCAGTAAATGGATGATCGTATCTGATAAATTTTAATTCACCCAAATCTGTATTTATCGTATTTGCAGTTACTATATTAATAGGTGATTGTTGTTTTCCCGTTGAACATGTTCCTGGCCATTTATTAGGCTCTATATAAAAAAAGGGATAAAAAGAAATTAAATTAATAAAATAAATTAACACAATAAATTAATAAAATAAATTATTACTCAAATTTTTTTGTATTTCAGATGTTTCCAAATTGTTATTAAAATTAAATTATGTGCTTCAAAATAAATTAATAAAATTAATTGTTAATCAAATTATTTTGTATTTTAGATTTTTCTTATATTTATGAATTAATAATACAAATTGTTATTATAAACAATTTTTGTTCAAATATTTCATATATCTATGAATTAAAAATACTAATTTTTATATTCAATATTTAATTGAATATTTTTTTTAAATTCATTCTTAAACAATAAATCGTACAATTTTAATCGATACATAATTAATAATTATTAATTGGATTTTGTTTTAAATTAATATTTGCTTACTTAATCTCTTAGAATTTTATTTGTTAAAATATTACAATGGTATGAGTGAATTTATATTCAACGAGAAATGTAGGTTACGGTTTTGCTAGAAATAGAATCGTAGACGCTCGAGATATAATTCTTCGTATCACTTTATTTATCATCGTTTAAAACGTGTAGAATATTAATAAATTAAACATTAGTAATTTTTATTAAATTAATAGAAAGAGTCACGTTCAATTGACAACGTGACTACGTGTCGTTACGAGATAATTATTATAATATAATTGAATTTATAAATTTACTTCCTTCATATACGTATTTATAATACTTATAAATATTAATTATTGATAATACATCATTTATAAAAAAAAAAAAAATCAGTATAACTAAGATAATTAATGAATACTTGATTGACTTAAAAAAAAAAAAAGAAAAATATAAAATAAAAATAAAAAACAAAAGATTACAAAAATGATGTCATCACCAATCTGATCTTTATACATCATATATACATCATTTATAAACAAAACAGTATAACTAAGATAATTAATGAATAATTGATTAACTTTAAAAAAAAAAAAAAGAAAAATATAAAATAAAAATAAAAAACAAAAGATTACAAAAATGATGTCATCACAAATCTTATCTTTAAACATATATATATATATACATCATCTATAAACAAATGAATAAGTCACATAATTAATGCATAATTAATTAAATAATAAAAGAAAAGAAAATAAAAATAAAAAATATTTAAAAAATATGTTCTTACAAATCTGATCATTTTATCTCTTTCAATTTTATCTATTTTATTATCTTTATTTATTTTCTTATTTATCATAATAATGTTAAGTTATCAATAAACAAGAACAAATACACACAAAAAAGTATATAACATTATCGATTAGTAAATTGTTCTACTTTAAACAACTTATTATCGATAAAAATCGAATGTAAAGTAAAGTTTATATAAAAATAAAAAAAAAACAAAGTTGTTATCATTGTCCTTGATTGTTATCGATTATTATAAAATTATTATCGTTATTTATTATCTATAATATATATATATATATATTAGAAAAATGAATTATTAAAAATTACCATGGTCCCCCCAATAACCCCAATCAGCTGTTCTTCCAATGTGAAATCCTAAAAAAGAAAGAAACAAAATGGAAAACCAATAAATATGAATAAACAATTGCATAGATAATTGTTTAATATTTGTATGTGTGTATGACACATATTAAAATTATGTTCTTGTTTTTTATTCTTTCTCTCTCTCTTATTCTTTTTCTGACAAATATAAGAAATGATTACGCCATAGTTTCGAAATTTGATTCCATTGAAACGATTATACACACACATATATATACACATGTCCATGTACATGTGCACATATATGTTTACAATGATAGATTTACGATATTTCAAACGGAATTGCCATACCCCTGAATCGAATTCATCAGGAAATGTTAAATTTATCTTGAACGTAATCATTTATCGAAATCGAATAGGTTAATTCAAATTTAACATGACACCCGTTGTAATAATATACTAATTGATTGTTATCTAATGATAATTTATTCTAGAGAAAATTCTATAAGGATTTTTATGTTACTTTAAACGTGATTTTTGCAAATATGAAGAATTTAGTTAATCCAAAAATATTTAGCATTTTTTTTTTAATTTTTACAAAGATAAGGTTAACCTACAAATGTTTAGCAATTTGTAATTTTTACAAAAATTAAGTTAACCCTTAACGATCTGAATATTAATTAAGTATCATACTTCGACTGAACAAATTTTAAGTGTCAGATTTAAAATACTACAAAATGACGTTTTAATTTTTATTTTAAATACTACAGTGACACTTGTTAATAACTGAGGAGTATAATCTTTGATTCGTAATAATTACCAATAACGACCCAACGATATATTTTAAGCAGAGCGCCGAAAATCGATGGTGCCTGAGAGGCACACTTAGAACGTTATAGGGTTAACCTAAAAGTATTTTGTATTTTTTTATTTTTTACAAAAGTTAAGTTAACCTTAAATTATTAAGCATTTTTGTAATCTGTAGAAAATGAATTTAAAATAAAAATGTTGAACCTTTTTTTAAACGAACAATGTGAGATTACGTAAACGTTCAATGTGTATTAATAAAAAAGTAAATTAACTTTGTTCAATTAAAAAGGAAATTAAATTTCCTCGTGCAATATAATTCTTGTAATTTTTTATAACCTCAAAGAGGGGTTACGAGGCAAATATTATCATATTATATTTAACCATTAATCGATTAAACATGATTTATACAGCAAAAAAATATGAAGAAGGATTCAAACTAAAAGAAGAAGAAAAAAACAAATATAAAATATATAATATATATTATTCATTTATAATGAATTTATTCAATGAAATATCAGAACAAGTAATTAAATCTACAATGTGTTAAAAAATAAATCAACTTTGTTGAATTTAAAAAGAAATCAAATTTTGATGCAACATGAAAAAAGAATGGATGTATATTATTGATTGATAATGCATTTATTTAATGAATTATATGTACAAGTAATAGAATCTACAATGAGTTGAAAAGAATGAATCAACTTTGTTGAATTTAATAAAAAAACAATTTGCGGTGCAACATGTATGAAAAAAAAAATGTATATATATTTACTTACAGTGCATTTATTCTATTAATTATCTGCATAACAAGTTAAAACTACAACGTGTTAAAAAAAAAAAATAAATAAATAAATCAACTTTGTTAAATTTAAAAAGAAGTCCAATTTTGGTGCAACATATATAAAAAAAAATAAACAATTTATAATATTCGTTACTCATTGATAATAATTTTATTAAATGAAATATCAGAACAAGTAATTAAATCTACAACGTGTTAAAAAATAAATCAACTTTGTTGAATTTAAAAAGAAATCAAATTTTGATATGCAACATGTGTCAAACAAAATATATATTTATATTTATTCATTAAAAGTTCATTTATTCAATTAATTATTTGTAGAAGCATAATAGTTAAATCTATACCTTGTTCAAAAAAAAAAAAAAAGAAATCAACTTTGTTCACCTTGGAAAAAAAAAATCAAATTTTATTGGAAAAAAATTGTAAAAAAAAATATTATTACATATTATTCATTGATAGTGCATTTATTAAATGAATTATGTAATTTAATTAATAATAAATAAATCTACAACGTGTTAAAATAATTTAAATCAACTTTGTTAAGTTTAAAAACAAATCAAAAATTTCTGAGCAACGTGTGTAAAAAAAAATATATATATATATTTATTCATTAATAGTGCATTTATTCAATGAACTATCAGAAGAAGTAATTGAATGTGCAACGACAGGAAAGAGAATTGACCTCATTGACCGATCATTGTGCCTAAGCACAGATTCATTTGGTCAATCGCGAGAAAAATACATTACATTAGACGTACGCATTTTTCGTTACACCATTGATACCAGATAACAATAATAATAAGAAGAAATAGAATAATAATAATAATAATAATAATAATAATAATAATAATAATAATGATAATAAGATTAAACGAGATTGAAGATATTCCGAGAATAAAACGATTGATTAAGATTAAGATTTGTATCTATCCTGATTGAAGTACAATCGGATAACGTTAAATAAACGCCGGCGCTTTCGATGATAATAACCATTTATTATTATCTAAGTTTCGAATAGTTCTAAACCAACCAGCAGATTTTAATGAACATAATTCGCGCTTCCGTTTTTTATCATCGGCATGATTTTATTATCCATACTACTTCTCAAAGGTCATCGTAATTTTCATCATCATCATCATCAGAATCATTCGTCTCAGTATTTTTTCGATTATGAATCGTGTATTAATGTATTGTATTAGTGTGTTGTATTAATTAATAACTGTATAAAATTTCTATCTTTTTTTTTTTTTTAAATGTAGGGTTGGGAGTAGAAAGGGAGATAATATTGATACAACGAATAAAATTAGTTTTTATTGTAATTTTAGATTATTGGTAAGAAAAATATAATAAAATATATTTAGTTATTAATAATTGCGAAAACTTTAGGTTTTGTTTTAGGGGTAAAAGGGTATACAACAACAACAAAAAATAATTTTTTTAAATAGTTTTACGATGATCTTTGGGAAAAATAAATTATTAGAAATATAAATTAAATTAAAATAATTAAAGTTAAATAAAAATATATTATTAATTAATATAATAATTAATATATATATTATATAATTAATATATTATTATTATAATATTTATAATAATAAATTTAATTATATATATTTATTAATAATTTTGCTATCTCTTTCTTTTCATTTAAGAGTGGGGGAAGATGATACAATGAATTAGATTAATTTTTGCCATAGTTTATATGCTATATATATATATATAGTTTATATTACTATATATTATTATTTTTTACTATCATTATATTATAATTCTTATTATTATTTATTATATAGATATTTTATATATTTTTTATATTATTATTATATTAGTTTATATATATTAATAATTGTATGAAATTTTTATTTCTTTCTTTTTTTTTTTTGATACAACCAATAAGATAAATTTTTTTTCCAAAAATGATTATTGAAAATTATATGGAAACTGTATACTCATTTATAATGTGTTTCTATTGAAATAAAAGTAAATAAAATAAAAGAAAAGAAAGAGAATAGAACGCAATAAAATAATCAAGTTAAACGAAGCCACCCCTAATCAAAAAGACAGATAGATAACAAAAGAGAGAGAGAGAGAGAGAGAGAGAGAAAAGTGAGAATGAAAAAGGATTGTCTTCGTAATCCTTATCTCACGTTACATGAAAATTTAATTTAAAAAAAAATAGAAACAAAATAAAACAAAAAATAACAATCTCTTCCTTGATATTTACGTGTCGATGATTGGAACAAAAACAAATGAGAAAATGAAGATATTAAATTAAAATTTTAATATTATTTTTAATATTTTCTCATCCCCATTTTTTAATTACCTGTTAAAATTACAAATAACGTCGAATAAATCCACATTTCGTGTTTAAATAAAACAAAAAACACTAAAGTGATTTAAAAAAATATAATTTTTTGAAACAAAATAACGTGGTGGAGGTGGTGGTGGTTTGGGGAGGGGGGTTATTTAGAAAAATAAAATAAATAAAATAAAATAAATTTCTAATAAAAATAACTCAATTATTTTTCTTGTTTGTTTCTAAAAATTGAAATTGAACCACTCGTGTTACACGAAATAAAAAAAAAAAAAAAAAGGGGTTGACACGCAAAAGTGGACAAATATACACGTTGGGGATCACACATACACATATAAAATAACACACATGGGTGGTTACAGGTACTTTTTTTTGTGTGTGAACAGAATCAAATACGACTGGTTGTATACGCGACTTAAATCTGACTGAATAAACCCTCGAGATTACGTTAGAGAAGAGGAGGAGGAGGTAAAATAGAAGGAGGAGGAGGAGGAGGAGGAGGTGGATGAGGTGGAGGAGGAGGACCCCGACCTATCGACGAGATTTAACGTGTTCAACTTCGTCAAATTACGAGACTGGACGAAGCCAATATGTTGGTGACGAACAAACACGATTCGTGATAACACATCCTCCCTCATTCAATTGACCTGGCCTTTTTAGTTTTAAACTAACCGCTTGTAAAACTATAATTCTTCCTATTATTCACTTTTTTTTTTAATCCTAATTTTTTTTTTGTCTAGTTAACGTACTGTCGTTGTTTGTTCTTTTTTTATTTTTTTTTTAAATTTAATTTTTATTCTGCTTTAAGTGTACAATCTAATCTTTCTGATGTGTTAATCAACAATGTGGTATTTGGTTGGTTTGATTTGTAAATAATTATTTGATTCATTAATTGTTCCATTTTTATTAACAGACATTAGTATTAGTATTTTTAATTGTAAAAATAGAAAATTAGAAAGAAGATTGTAAAGATGCAATTTTTTTTCTGTTTTGTGTGTGTGTGTGTGTGTGTGTGTGAATGTTTTTTGAATTTATTGGATTCAATTGATCATTAAATGATGCAATTTTATTTTTTATCATCATTCTATTATTATTATTATTATTATTTTTATTTTTATTATTATTGTAATAGTTATATGGATTTATTTTTTGTTCATTTTTTATTCTTAAGCAAAAATCTTCATTTAATTTGTTCTCTATTTTATTTTATTACTTTTCTTTTTTTTATTATTATATTGTGTATTATATGTGTTAATTATTATTAGTATTATATTATAATGATATTTATTTGTTCATATTTTATTTCTGGATAAAAATCTTCAGTTATTTTTTTTCACTATTTTGTTTTCTTTATTTTCAATATATTTTGTATTATTCATATTAATTGTTATTAATATTATTATGGTATTTATTGGTTAATTTTTTATTTCTCGATATAAATCTTCATTCATTTTATTCTCTATATTTTATTTTATTTTATTTTATTTTATTTTTTTTATTACCATATTATCTATTATATATTATCATTATTATTAATAATGTTATTTTTTGAAATCACGTTACGAGATAATATAAATAAATTTATATTCTTAAAAATATCAGCAATAATATAAAACATCATTGAATTTGACACACAATTAAGATTAGAAAAAGATTAAAACAAAAAAAAAAAATTAAACAAACTTTTTACAATACCAAAGAGATAGTAGAACAAATATTCGTATTTTTTCTGTCAATGAAAGATTATTCCTTATTACACAAGTATATATACATATATATATACATATGAGATAAATATATTGCAATCTACCCACGTATCTCGTATATCGAATTTCATCAAATAATCATTTTCTTCTCTCACAATTATTATTTCCTTTTTTTTTTTTCTTTTCTAAGAAATCAAATGATATTAAAAGATATTTTCATTTTGTTGAAAAAAAAAAAAACTTAAACAATTTCTTTCGTTTATTTATAAAATCAAGCGTAATCACGGATGATGGATTATCTATTTTTCGTTTCTTTCTAAGAAATCAAATGAAATATTTTATTCTTTTTTTTTTTTTTTTAAGAGAACATAAACAAAATCTTTCGTTTATTTAAAAAAGATTCTTGTACCATAAACGTAATCAATGATGAGTTCTTTTTTTCTGTGTGTTTTTTTTTTATGGTTTTTATCTATAAAACAAAGTTTATATATACAGATCATAGAAACTGGATATTTGGCAACACACAAGTAGTTCGTATCTCGAGTGCAACTATTTCAAGTTACACATGGTAGTAGGCCTATAAAGAAACTTGGTCGAACACTTATTATTCCGAAGATAGAACACTAACATAAGTTCATGAAACTCATCTACTTTTATTCAAGTATTTTTGAATTAATGCCAATAAGTAATCTTAAGTAACATATAAAAACTCCATTTTTTTTTTATTCATCTCATTTTTCATCTCATAAATCTCTTGTGTTATTTTTAAAATTATAATCCATAATTAATATCAACACATTGAGATAGAACAGACACGAAATAATCCAATAAAAAAATAACAAATTAATTCATATCTAAATATTTATCTAATTTTATTTCATTAAATTAATTGTGAAAGAGAATGAAAGAAAGAAATACAAATGATTGTTTAAAAGAGATGAATTATAAAAAATAATAAAAAATTAATTATAAGATTTCTCTGTGTTGAGATAAAAAAAAAAAACAAGGATACAAATTGAACACTTTGAACGTACACAAATTGAAGATTTTCGATAAAAAGAAGAATAAAAAAGAAATTGTAATACAAAGAATAAATAAAAACACCCTATATACACGTATAAATGTCATATAAATATATCCAAAGAGAAAAAAAAAGATACTAACGATTGAGATAAAAAATGATAGAAAATATGTGCACATAGGTTGAAGGTTTGAGATTAAAAGAAGAAGAAAAAAATCTAATAGAATAAATAGAGTCACCGTGTATATATATATAGTATACGTATAACATATATGATCAAAAGATGAAAAGAGATAGAAATATAAACGAATAAGAAGAGGAAGAAGAAGAAGAAGAAGAAGAGGAAAACACGTTCGGAACGAAAATAGAAATTTGGTTGAGTTAAAATTTGGTTTTAGTTACAGTCAGAAGAGTATAGTTCAACGTAGTATTAAAACGATAGTATTATCTCGTGTTTATTTCTTTTTTTATCTGATTATCTATTAATTAAAAATAATAACAAAATGGTACGTCAAGTATTAAGATCGTCATTAAGAAGTCGTGACAGTTCGTCAACGTCAACCGGTGGACCTGACGCTCGTGAAAGAATAAAAGATTGTTGTCGTAAGTTGGTAGCATTTATGTGTACACAAGTTGGAGTTGGTGGTTTGGTAGTTGGATATGCAATAGTTGGTGCATTTGGTTTTATCATGATAGAAAAACAAAATGTTATAATTGATCCTGATTGTTCACGTAATCAAATACAAAAACAATACGCTGATGTTTTATGGTATAAAACGGCTGGTGATCAAAGTGTCAACATATTCAACAGAACAGCATTTTTCATTGTGTCCAATTCTATTTTGAGAGAATTACAGGACAATTTTACGGCTGCATATTTGAGAAAGAGTTGTAATATCGGTATGACGTCATCGGAACAATGGTCATTCCCAGCAGCATTGATGTTTTGTTTGTCGATATTTACCATGATAGGTTATGGTAATTTGGTACCTAGAACATCATGGGGTAAAGGTGCTACTGTCATGTACGCTGTATTGGGTATACCGTTATACGTATTGTACTTTCTCAATATGGGTAAAATATTGGCACAAACGTTCAGGTGGCTTTACACGAATTTACACGAATGTACGGGACAAAGGAAACCTGGTCAAAGGATTACTGTACCATCAACGGCTTGTCTATGGGTCATATTTGGTTACGTTTTAGTTGGTTCAATTATGTTCGCACAATGGGAAGGTTGGGATCTTTTGGACAGCACCTATTTTTGCGTCACATCGTTGTGTAAGATTGGTATGGGTGATTTTATACCAGGATGGACGTTAGGTGAATCTACGGAAAGCAGTCATACCAAATTGGTCATCAATTTTGTTTATCTTCTTCTTGGTATGGGTTTGATAGCCATGTGTTATAATCTCATGAAAGAGGACGTTTATGTGAAAGCGAGAGAACTCAAGGAACAACTCGATCACGCGATGGACGTTGCTCATCGTAGGATGATTACCTGCTGCCGATCAAAAAGTTTCGTTTAAACATTTTTTTTATTTACAAAAAAAAAATACTCCACCTTCCCTGACACCCCACTCTTCATCGTGAAAACTTTAAATGAGGTTTAATTTTTTTTTATGATCTTATTAATAAAATATGTGGAACGATATATATATATAATATATTATTATTATTATTATTATTAAAGATAATTTTACTATACGAGATAATAATATGCCATAAGTTTCTTTGACATATGATGGTTGTTTTTTTTTTATTCTGCATTTTAACTTTTAAGTGGTCACATACGCACACACACATGAATATTATCTTCTTTTTTGGATTTCATTTTCTTCATAAGTTAAACGAAATTTTTAAGGTTATATACAGGTTATCAGTAATATGGGCTCTGTTTGAATTTATTTGATACAACGATCATATGTGAAATAGTAAATTTACGATTGTGTTAATAATCTTGCTTCCGTGACAATAAATTTTATATTATAGATAAAATATATATACTACATTCCATGCTCAATATTTTTATATGGGTTTAATCAATATTTTAATGATGCCATATTCAAATTTATCATCAAAAAGTTTTATCTGTTTTTAAACATTAAAAAAAAAGATTTACACAATTACGTTTACAGATTTATAAAAATAGTTTAATATATTTGCATGAAATCAATAATATAATATTTAAATTTTTATTATAACATTTATATATTGTTAATAAGAATAAATATATGAATAAAAATGTTAATATATTTATAAAAATTATATTAATTAAATAATATGTCGTTTTTGTCAAGTAATTTCCTATAATTATCAAATATTATATTTTTTTAAAAATAATTATCATTAGAATTATCATTTTATTTATCGTTTGTTGATATTATAGACTTCTTTATAGTCTTTATCATGCATTGTGGTAAAATAGTAGTCTGTAAAAATATGATTTTGTAAGATATCGGTTGAAGTAAAAGTAGAAATCTCTTTTGCCATGTTTAAACTTTTAATATGACATTTATGTATTATTAATAAGAATGATTATAGGAATAGAAATGATAATATTTATATAAAAATATTATGTCATTTTTGATCAAAAATTCCCTATAAGTATCGAATTAAATATATTTTTTAAACGAGTATCATTAAAGTTAGCATCTTATTTATCGTTTATTGATATTACAGATTTCTTTATAGTTTTTATCATACATTGGTAAGATATCAGTTGGTAAAATATCGATTGTGGTAAAATTAGAAATCTTTTCTACCATCATTTCTTAAAAACTAAACTCTGGTAGTAAAAAATAATAAAATTAATTACTAATCATTAATGAATTAATAAAAGCAATTAAAACCTTATCCTAAAATAGAGAAAACTTCTAAAAAATGAATTTAATTTCTTTAAAAAACCAATTAAAACCAAATTACAATTGTATTATTGACTTTCATCGTACAAACAAAGATAAAATAATAATTAAATAATGAAAAATCATATATTAAGGGTTAAATAAATTATAAAAAAAAAAAAATAAAAATGGTAATTATTATACTAAATTTTTTTTATGATAAATCAATTGCAGTAGTCAGACGACTTAAAATATTCTCGATGGTTTTGTTTGTTCGCGACGACAGGTTTTGCCCTTTTGCCGTTTTGGCATCGTTCTTGAATTCTTAAAAAGGGTCGTCGAGCAGTGTTTTTCCGAACTTTCTGAGGTTCAATTTGTTCGGTCAGATCTTCTCTTTACTTGGCACCTGAACATACACAACTGGACTGCAGTTCTCAACGATTTGTCGAATCACTGCAGAAACTAAACTTCCCTCGAGCACCCTTTTCGATTTCACCGTAACTGCGATGGATTCGTACGTGCGAAACCGCAAAGATCTCCCTTGACGCGTTTTTTTTTTTTTTGACCAAGATAAAAGATAGAAATAAGAAAAGTTAAGAGAAAAGGAACGAAACAATTTTATAGAAACTTCAGTTTTTAATAAAACTTGTATCTGTAGACATACGAGATATTTAAAAAGGTTAATAATTTATTGTAATAATATTATTGACAAAAAATATAAACAATTGTGTCAACCCTTATCGGTCGTCAGGTTTTTTTTATATTGATGAGTGTCCTAAAAGTTATAAATGGTTTTGATTGAATATTGTTTAACATGCACAAACAAACAAAATTGTTTATTATTAAAAGAATAATTTATTATTTATTAGGAATTATTTATTATTTTTTGAAAGTAATACTACAAATATAAATATAAAATTATTCAATTATTAATAACATATTTTTATTATTGGTAAGTAACTTTCCACGTTTATTAATTTTCGTGTATTTCTACGTGCATTTAAAAACCAAACGTAGTTTTAAAAAAATCCTAGAAACTTGCAAATACCATAAATTTAAATATACAATCTACAATTCAAAATATTATACAAAAAGTTAATAATAAATTAATTTCATAATTTTTTTTTAAGAAAAAAAAAAACATCATTTTTTAATTAAACCACTTATGAGTTTTCTTCTTTTTTTATTTTCCTTTGTTACGTTCCCATTTCTGAGTTGTTTTTTTTTTCTATAAGAAAAATTAATTTTAAGATTAAATAATAATAGAAAATGATTATCAACATTTCTACACTCGATTTATTTTCTCCTAGATGCTTGATAGAAAGTTAATTCCCTATTCGCGGTTTACTGTTCGCGAACTTGCATGAGTTAGCCATTAATTTCAAATCCGACATGGTTCGTGTACCTAACGGTTTCAACATAGCACAACTCGACTTTCAGTTTTGATCGAGTTATCGCAATAGAATTTCCTATCCTACGACTACGATCCATCGGCTTGCTTTTATCTCATTCTCGACACACACATTCAAAATTTCACTGTATAGGATGATTCCTTTTATTATCGATCGCACCAAAAGGATTGCGAATGAAATTAAGGGAACAAAAGGAGGAAAATAAAAAAAAAAAATGAAAGTGTCTTATTCGAAAGAGTTTTTCATTTTTTTTTTGTTAATAATAATTAAATATTATTATATTTTTATTTCATTTGTTTTATCTAAGAATCATTCATTTGTAAAATTCGATTATTTTTAGGTTAATCGAAGACAATTGATAAATTATTTAATTGATATTACTATGAATTAATTATTGGTTTATTATTTAAGCATTTATTATTTAAATATGTATTTAATTTTTAATTTAATACAATTTACTTTAAATTTTTAACAAAAAAATTTAGCTCAAAATTGATGAGTTAATTTATAGGTGAAATGATTTAATGTTAAAATTAAAATAAACATTATTAATAATATAATTGAATCCTTCATTTTTGCAAAAAATATTGATTAATCATAGATATTTATTAAAATAATTTAAATTAATTATTTTCTGTATAATTTTTGTCTAAAACTTCGTAGAGACTCATTCGCATATTCGCAATATTCTTAGTTAGCTGGAAGAAAGGGTGAAGAGTTTGGCAAGGATAGGTCTGATCAAGGAAAGAAAAGGAAAGAAGGTAAAAAAAGGGGGAAAATAAGAAAGGAGGATGGTGGAGAAGGGAGGAGGAAGAGGTGAAACAAAATTTATCTCGATTAAACTTGGAAACTTAAGTTAAGTTTTTCTTTCCTGAGTTTTGCACTAATGGGAGTTTCAGAATGGAAGAAGCACCTCGTCTTGTGCCATATATTAAGAACCGATTTCTATCTTCGTGAAATATTAAGTTTCAAGGATAGAGAAAGACTGTAGGATTCATGAAAAAAATTGAGTTACTGGAAAACTGACTGGACCGGGGATTCGAATCAAGAATCTTTCGTTTTTCGTACGATTGTTCTGTTAATTGAAGTATTCTGGTACATAATAACAATTCTCAACACTTATAAATTTGTATTTTTTTTTATTTTCTAGGCATTTTCAATACTTTTCTTGAAAATAAAATTTAATTACGTGGATCAAATGATGCGAGAAAAATTTATAAACGAAATTGTGCAATTGTGCAACATTTTTGAATATTGCTGACTATAATCGTAAGACATCCAATGTACCATGCGCCATCTACAGTACATAACGCAATACAATGGCTTAAGAACAACGTACTACGTTTTTTTTTAAGGTTATTTTTAATAAAATGATGTTTAGTAAACTTATACATCAAATTTACATTAAAGAAATATTAAAAATAATTCTGAACTACTAAAATAAAAATTATAATAATTGATATACTTAATGGTTACCTCAACAAAACAAATATTTTATAATTTCATACTTATTAAGTGGACTGTTAAGTAATGTTGTGCTTTCAAACTTTAAATTCAAACGAATAACTTTCTAACAAATTTATATTTTTAATCAATAACATAATCAACCTTGTTATCAACAACCTTTTTTCATCTAGTATGCAAAATTTTTAATATCAAATTGATAAAAATCAATCGTTTTTTGATAAAAATATACGACATTACTTTCTGGTTCACCTAATATTTTTCCTAGCATCAAAATAAATTTACTAACATTTCAAAATAATAATTACACACAATTAAATAAAAAACCTTAAAAAAAAGTAAACCAAAAAAAACATCAATTACAAAATATTCGATAATATTATAGGAGAAGACATTATAGAAATAATAGCTCAATTTATTCTACACCAGCCTGAAATAATTTCTCACTTTTTCTTTTTTTTATTTATTGAAACAAAAAAATATCTTTTTTCCTAACCTCTCTATCATGTACGACAAATTATATTACATCATAAGCAATATATATTTTTCCTCATATCTCGGTTAGGTTTGAAGCTGATGGTGGTGAAGCAGTTCGAAGGGACTGGTAGGAAAAGGAAGGTGATAGGAAGGATTGCAATAGGGAATAGGAGATCGATAACAGTCAAAAGTTTTATCTGGAAAACTAGATATCAGATAGGAAGAAGGTGTAAGAAAAAGAAAAAGGTTCGGTTTGAGAAAATACGTGAGAATTTTTCGTCCAAGCGAGTAATGGCATAGCACGTGCAACTAAGCGTAGGATAGGAGTGGGGGTGAGGCTTGTGGTGGGGGTATTAGAGAAGGAGAAGGGGAAAGGAAGCATCAAATGAGCTGTATAAACATTTTACTCGTATTTTACAAATTTTTTTCATTCTATTTTTTTTCTTCAAGTGAAAACTTATTTAGAATAGGAAGTGATTTTAGTGAAAGAGAGAGAAAGAGAGAGTGAGAGAGACAGATTGAAACTTTCCTCTCGTTATTTTCATTTTTAGATCTTACACTTTTTTTTGACATAAAATAACGAGAAATTCTTTTTATTTCTTCTTTTTTTTTTATTCATTTCATATAGTAGCTTATACAGTAACCGAATGTAGCCAACATAGAAGTATAGAAAGGACTTATCTATTAATGTCGGTACTACGAGTTCAAAGGAGGGATCGTAGTTTTGATGGAGGTCCTGTAAAAATTCGTTCTTCTTCTTTTTTTTTTTTTTTGTTGAAAGCATTTCATTTTTATTCCCCCCACACCCTGCCCAGAAAGGTTTTTTCATCTCGAAATACGAGACCACGCGTTGGCGGATGTTTTTTTTATTTTTTCTTCTTCAAAAGATTCTATCGTTTGATAGGTAGAGTAGTATTCTTTTTTTTTTAGGTTTGTCTATTTTTTTCATATCTTTCTAATCTTTTTGGTCAGTATTTTGTTATAAGCATATATTAATATTTGTTATTACTATTATTTGTTGTTTAACATTTCATTATTTAGGTATATTTTTATTTATATAATACTGTTATACAATTTAAAATTATTTTTATTAATATTTATTAATAATAATTATATTATTATAAATATAAAGAACATCATGTTGTTTCAAAAACATTTGTTTTAATACAAATACTGGTCATTTATTTAAAATATTGATCATCAAAATGAATAAAAAATAGACATAACAAAAAAGTGACATACAGGAATAGAGAAAATAAAATAACAAGAAAAAATACGAAAAGAATGAGAGAAAGCGAAAGAGAAATAGTAAAAAAAAGAGATAGAAAATCGTAAAATGGATAAATAGCGAAATGGATGAAAACTTTGCGAATTGGTCCACGTCTCTTCGGGATATCCGCTGACAAATTGAACGAAACGAACGGGGAAAAAGATTAAGTCCCGCTGTGCTTCACAAATACCTCTCTCTCTCTTTTTCTCGATAACCCCCCACCCCCTACCCCATGGAAAGATAAAAAGATAGGGGTTAGGGAGGGGGTAGTATTGAATAAACCACACATTGAGTTCATGGATTGATCGAGAATTCTGCAAAAAAAAAAATGTTCTTTTACTTTTTTTTTTTTTTTTTAATAAAAATACCATCAATTTTAACAAAAAATACTCAATTTTTTTTGTAATAATTTACTTAAATACTTTTTTTTTTATATCAAGGAAACAATGATCGATTGTTTAGTTTCGTTTCAAAACATTTGATTGAATAATCAACATGTTGAGCGCCACGTCCGTCACATCTGACTGACACGTTCAATTATTTTTACAATACAAACTAACAACTGTGGCCTGACAGGAATTTCCCTAAAAATTCACATGGCACTCAACGTGTTAAGAAAATAAATTAATATAAAATTGATTTTAACAGTTTAATTTATGGGACTTATGTTCAAAGAAAAGTTCGTGTTCACATTAAAATCAAAAAATATATTAAATGTATAAAGTAAGTACGTATGGTGTACACGCATCCGGTACGTTTCGTGTACGAATCCGATACAAGAAGATCATTGGTATTTTGCCAAATCCTTTTCAATGTAGCGGACTCTTGCATTTAGCTTCTTTCCTCTTCCCCCCCACCCTTCGCCTGCATTTCCTTCGATCACGTTTGGAATAGTAATGCATTGAAAAAAGAAACGGGAAAATAAAAAAAAAAAGAATATTTCTCTACATTCTCCATTTTGTAGGAGTCAAAATTGTATGTATGGTTTTTACAACAGAACTTGATGAAAAAAAAAGAAAAAAATATTACACAAATTGTTTTGTTGTTTGTCAAGCATGCAAAGAAATTAATTGCAACAATTAATTGCAAAAAATACTTGGGTGTGTTGACCAATGATAAAGATATAACAAATTTACAGTAAGATTATGACATGTACTGGAGTTTTACAACAAGGATATTTGATATTTAATTAGTTTACTACAGGATATCTTTTAGTTGTCAAACATTTGAGAGAGTTGCCATTTTCTAAGTGGCAAGAAAAAATGTATCCCCCACAGCTTATTAGTCTACCTCCGAGTATAAGTAGAATCAAAACAATCCTTTAGACACTACTACCCTAGTTTAGACCACTAGTATCATTATAAACATTATCCAGAGACGTAAAAAGGTTCAAGGAATCCACTGACACCCGTTAGTGCCACCCATGGAAAGTTTAGTGTGAATTAAAATCTTCATTTCTTCAAGAACACCTTTATCGATGAATCTGAATCATTATCTTCATAAATCAAGAATGTTTACAACAGTATTTCAAGGTTTGCATTATTATTATTTATGATATAAAAAAAATAATAAAAAATGATTTATGATGTATATGTAGAATAATATAAATTTAAATAATGTTTTCATCTTCATCTTCTTCTTCTTCTTCTTCTTCATCTTCATCTTTTCATTTTTCTTTTGATCGTTGGGGATATCGATTCTACCAAAAAATATACATCATATGATAATCAATACAATTCTTAGAGAATAAATTTTTTCTATATATATTCTTTTTGTAAAAAGAAATTGAACCCATCGCGTGGATCGTACATGTTCTTCATTTCCATAACAATAGAGACCAAAATCTTCCACTCATTCTCTCATAAAGAAAGAAAACTTTCAATCTCATCCTTCTTTCTCAACACAAATCCTACATAGAAATAAAATGCAAATGTAAATTTAAATCCACAAAATTTATACTATTATATAAAAAATAAATAATACGATGAAACTTAGAACAAATAAAAATAAAAATACATATTATACTATAGTTATCAATAAAGTTCATTAAAAATCAGATAAAATATTAGAACAATTCGATTTCATATATTTAACCTTTCATGGTTTCATTTTAATAAAGTTTTATGAATAAATTATAATTTTTTTTAAAGAAATGATACACATATACTTTAACTTGGATAATTTGCATTAATAAATAATAATAAAGTTAATTATAATATATTTTAGAAGATGTTATCCGTGAAAGCGAGTATAGTGACGCGTCGTATTTGGAAGATGGCATCCGGGAAAGCCCCTGTAGTAGCGCGTCGTACCAGAAGATGGCATCCTAGAAATCCCCTATAGTAGCTCGTCGTACCAGAAGATGGCATCCGCAAAAGCCAGTATAGTGGCGCGTCGTACTTGGAACATTACAATCGCGAAATCCCCTATAGTTGCGTGTCGTACTGGCAGATGGCATCCGCGCGTGCCATTATACTGGTGCATAGTGCCTAAGAGGTTAATTAGACCCAAAAAACAAATCTACTTACTTACAAATAAACCAATGATTTAAATTATCTACAAAAACACAATTAAAATAAAATAATTGAATTAAAAAATACTCAAAATAGTTTTCTTAGATAAATTTCATTTTAAGTTGTAAAAAAAAAAAAAAAGAAGAAAGCATTCTAAAGCATTGGAAACCATTCGATACGTATTTCACACTTTTGGTCAGATCGAAGAAAGTCTGCCTACACAAATACATTCCTACATACATATCTACCTACATACATACATATATATTAGTAAAAGAAAAAAAATAACACTTTATCTTTCTCACTCTTTCAAATGGGGGGTTGAGGTGGAGCATCGATGGGATTCTTTCCGAGGCTTGCACCTCACCTTGCCGGCAAGTATCTACCGTGTGGTAGCATGACTTGTCTTCAAGAAGAAGAAAAAGAAGAAGAAAAAAAAAGAAGAATAAAAATAAGAAGAAGAAAATAAGGAGATGAAAGAAAGAGGGGTTGAATAAGAGTAAGAAAGAAAGTAAATGGTGGGAAGGTGAAACCAGTGGTGGGAGTACCAACGAAGGAGGAGAAATCTAGTGGGGAGTTGGATGAGGGTGTAGGTGGGTGTAGGTGGGTGTTAGAGGAAGGGGAAGTGATGTGCGCGGGCGCTCTCGTTCGGTCCAGATTCCTCGTAGCATCAAGCAAGTGTCTGTTAGTTTCACTGTTCGTAAAACCTGATACTAGTAGTAGTATCAGTAATAGTAGTAGTAGATCCAGCAATAGTAGTAGTAGATATGGGGACGGCTTGATAAACGGGTGTAGGTGGGTGGTGTCTATGCTTCGAAAGGGTGGTTGGCTGCTGGGAGCGAAAGTGGCGCCTCTAGTCGAGCGAAATTTTACCACCCCCAGCTCACCCCATTCTCCCCACTTTCCCAAAGCTTTGCTGTCGAGGGAGGACAAGCAAAAGCTGTAGCCTCCTTCAGTCGTAGGTGCAGTGCGTGGCGAGTGTGCAGCGCCGAAAGAGAGAGAGAGAGAGAGAGAGAGAGAGGGTGAAAGAGGGTGAAAGAGGGTGAAAGAAAGGGAGTGGGAAAGAGATAGAAAAAGCTTCCCTCTGAGAACCGGCGTGGCTTGGAGTGCGCGAGGTTAGAAACCCGTCGGCACAAACACAGTGCGTCCAGAGCAATTGGATGTTAACATTTACTTATCTTATTTTTTTTTTCACTGTTATCACATATAGTGTGTTTAATAATATTATATACGTATATATACATATATATACATATATATGAAAATATATATGTATACATATATATTTGTATATTTATTTATATAATATTATTATAAGAAAGTTATGTTACGCGTCGGTATGCTGTTGTATTTACGTTTTATCGTACCGTCAGATCAAACATCCTGTTGTTGTTGTTCATCGTTATCTTCTATTTTGATTTGTACGTTTTTTAATCTTCCTTGTTCTGTATAATCATTTTTAAATATTCTTTTTCTTTTAAGATTTTTTATTTTTTTATTAGGGAAAGTTTTCTTACTTTTAGTTTCTTTTATCTTTCAATTGTAAGATGCAATAGCTAGTTTATTGATAATAAAATGATTTAATTGAGATTATAGTGTATAGATAATAGATATCTATTAAATGAAAATTATTAAAACATTTTGTAATAATTTGTTTATTGATAATTTAATTATTTAATTGAAATTACAGTGTATAAATCATAGAAATTTATGAAACGAAGATTATTAGAACATTTTGTTACTAATCTTTCCTTTTATCTCAATTACAAGGTGTAATAAAATAATATTTTAATTGAAATTATAGTTTGTAGATAATAGATATTTATTAAACAAAAATAATTAGAAAATTTAATTTTTTTAATCATTTTTTTTGTTTCCTACCCCATTTCTCTTTCTCTCTCAAACTTTTCGTCCGTCTAATAAGTGTCTCCTCTTTCAACGATAAATGATAATAAATCTCTTCCTACCACAATTTTTGTTTATAAAAAAGGAAGGTAGGAACTTTAATGTTCAACGTGAAAATCCCTAGTTTGGTTTTTTCTATTTGAAAATAACGTTATCGTTGACCCACTTTTGTCTGGGGGTAAAAGCAATTAGACATTCTCGTTGTCGTAGAATTTACCGCGCGTGTTACATAGGGGAGGAAAAAAAAAGAAACCAAACAAAAATAAATACTTCAAGTAAGAAAGAAAGAAATAAAAAAAGGGTTCAGTAACATTTTTCTGTGTATATGTGTATCTATGTGTGTGATACCAACGATCAATCTTTCATTCTCATACGTGTTTCACGAATAAGTTTTATTTTATATATGAATAATTGTTTTTAAATAATTCTTGATCATATTCTTTTGTTTATTAACTTATTGACTAACTGTTTCATTCATTCATTTATTCATTCATTTATTTATTTATTTATGCGATATCGTAAATTTGAAGTTTCACGTTTGTGTATTATCGGTGCGTGATAGTCAACGTCGAGAGTTGAATTTACGACGACCATAGTCTGTGAACGTTGTTACCAGAATTTGGAAAACGTGAGTGAGAGAGAGAGAGAGAGAGAGAGAGAGAGAGAGAGAGTTAGTGTGATAGAGAGAGATAGAACTACCTAATCGGGTAATCCAAATCCCTTCAGGGATTCAAACCGAGAGACTAAAACTATGTCGGACTACGATCAAACTCAATCTCTACGATCTACTATTATCCTATCGGATCATTTTCTCAGATTTATTTTATAGTGATTATAATTTTTAAATTATTGTACATTTCAATATACACACATACATATATATTTATATACATATTTCGTTTTTATTTTTGTGTTGCAATTTATTGATAAGTAATTTGTATTATCTCAGATTTATTTTATAGGGTGATTAACTTTTGAATTATTGTACATTTAAATATACATATAAACATATATATGTATATACATATTTTATTTATTTTTGCGTTGTAATTTGTTGATAAGTAATTCGTGATAAGTATTTGAAATATATATATATATATATATATATGTGAATGTAAAATTAGAAGCGTGTACTCTGTGCAACTTTGTAATAATTACATGTATTTATCTTGGGTAGTTGAAATACGATGATAAATCAAATAAAATGATTGACAAGGATATTTCCGAATGATTTCCAAGCACACATTCCATACACACACACACACACACATAGATACACAGACACATATATATCTTCATTTAATAAGTATGTGGTATTACTTTCTGTCTGCCATCTCTCTGATTTCTCTCAGTTGTTGAAATTCGATGATAGATCAAACAAATGTGATTGACGAGAGCATTCAAAGAGAAAAAAAAAATAAAAAATAGTATCGTGAATAAAAATGTATAAATAGGATTAACTATACTATCATCTATCACAATAGGAGTTATATTCAATCAGTGTAGTATTTTGAGGTGGTGATGGTCATATTCTTCGTTCGTTAGTGTGAGGTTAAAAAACAAGGCGCGAATTGTGCCTGCAAAATGCTCGTTGTTCGTGGTTTTTCTTTCGTTCGTTCGTTCATTCGTACATTCGTAGGTTCGTTTCAGCAACGTTTCGAAATATCGATCATCACAACGTTGAAGAATCAAGTGGTTCAAATAACAATACCGTTCGCTAGTTCCGATCGAGAGTACCGGTTTAATTACACGCTCTGTGGAATCTCTTCGTTCGAATCATCCGCGAAACTTTGATCATCTACTCTTTTTTTTTTATTCTTCTTCTACTTCCTCTACCTTTTTTATTACTTTTTATCTTTTATCTGATCCCTTATATCTTTACTTTCTTTTTTTCTTCTTCTCTTTTCTATAGTTTCTACTCCTTTTTTTTTTATTCTGTTTTAATTAAGTGAAAAAAAGGTATGAACTTAATTCTCACATTGTCTTCTAAATTTAATTCGTTCTTTCAGTATATTATTGTATTCTTATTTTTATTTTAAAATGAAAAAAGAGGATTAGATGATATGGTGATGAGCATATGTGACCGCGAAACTTCAAAGTGATTTTATTACATACGAGTGATAAATGTGTATATATACTTTTTGTGAATCCATGATGTATCATTTTGTTTTTTTTGTTAAGTAAAAACTTCTTTAGAATGAAAGTGATTTGATAAAAAGCGAACGAAAATCCATGGTTACGGCAACGAAACGATGAAACGGCTACGTTACTAAAAAGAGAAAACGAGACAAACATATGCACATCTATAGGATTTAGCCTAAGAGAGAATGAGATAGAAGACAGTATGCATTTGTTTCTTATTATCTCGGTTTCCTCTTTATGCGATGCTTCGTAGTTCCCACTCTTGGCTACTAAGTGTTGTATATGTGTGTGTTTGTGTGCGACTGCATACTACGAAGCGTAGACTCATTTTAACTTAATCCACACATTTAAAAATATTAGTTAGTTCTTCAACTGGCCACTAGACTGTCCACGTTTCTCACAAGTAAAGCTGTTTTTTTTTTATAATAGATAAACCCTACAATTATGTTACTCCTGATACTCTGCATTTGACTCATTCTCTCGAAACGAAGGTTTCAACACGTGTGATCTGCACACATGATATTTTTGAAGTGAAAACTTCTTTAGAATGGGTGTGATTTGGAAAAATGTAACGGAGCGGTAGGCGGCTATGTAACGGAGCGGTAGGCGGCTATGTAACGGAGCGGTGGGAGGCGATGAAACAGCCGCGATCCTAAATAAGAAGAGAATACAATTATTCTACACCAGATATTTTGTATTCGTCTCATTCTATCGAAACTTAATTTTTATTATCATTTTACGAAAGAAAGATTTTGAATAGAGTTGAAATCTGTCTTTTATCAACAACTTTCCATTTCATTAGGTTAAAGAAAACTTTTCTACGACAAATTAAACGAGTTCTAAATTTTAGTAGGAGAGAATAAGAAGACTGGGTATGGCAAGGGAAGGAAAAAGAAGCAAAAGGATAAGGGAATGGTAGAAGGGGTTTTCGTTAAAGAGTATTTAGCGTGTCTAACTAAATAGATCGTATAACATCGGCTAATTAAAGTACCACTATTTATCTATTTTACGGTTTATAAAAACTGTATCAAACTATATTCACATGTTACTAACTTTAAATGCTTTTAATTTTAACACTGTTTAAAAAGTAATTTACGAAACGTTTATAGAGAATCATGTAGACAAATTTATGATTATATTTATCATTATTATTATTATTATTATTATAAAATGATCTTTATGACAATTATTATCAAGAAAATAATTTAAATTTATTATACTAAAGATGCACTTATTTTGGTTTTTTTTTTTTAGCATTTTTTGTTGAAATAATCGATAAATTTTGTTATACGCATGATCTCATTCGAGTATACATATATATATCACAGATTTTTTTGATACTTTCGGATGAGATTAACGTGTGAAAGATTTAATGATAGTAACGATAGAACACCGATGTAGATTTGCGTTATACAAACACGTTGAAACAGGAAGTATGGAGGACACTATACGAGAATATCGGAATAGTATCGGAAGTTTGGTGTTTGCTGAACTGAATCGACGAATCCGTTTCGATCTTGTTGTTATATGAATTTTTGTTCGATACAGTTGATCATTTGTTTTTTCCTTTTTTTTTGTGACTATAAAGAATAGTCTATGCTATAACTCTTTTGTTTATCAAATAAAATGATATTTAAACCTCTAGTTGAAATTTACGCTATTTAAATCATATTTTTTATTTTAAAACCAACCAATAAAAAAAAATTTGACCATAAGACAATTTGATAAAAAGAAGAAATATATTTACATAATTTGAAACAGAAAATAAAATAGAAAAAAAAAACAAATATCATGTGTGCAGATCACATGTGTTAAAACCTTCGCTTCGAGAGAATGAGTCAAATGCAGAGTATCAGGAGTAAGATAATTGTAGAGTTTATTTATTATAAAAAAAAAAAAACAGCTTTGCTTGTGAGAAACGTGGATAGTCTAGTGGCCCCAGTCGAAGAACTAACTTATATTTTTAAATGTGTGAATTGAGTTAATACGAATCTACGCTTCGTAGTATGCAGTCGCACACAAACACACCATATACAACACTCAGTAGCCAGGAGTGGGGACTACGAAGCATCGCATAAAGAGGAGACCAAGATAATAAGAAACAAATGCATACTGTCTTCTATCTCATTCTCTCTTAGGTTAAATCCTATAGATGTGCATATGTTTGTCTCGTTTTCTCTTTTTTGTAATGTAGCCGTTTCATTGTTTCGTTGCTGTTACCATGGATTTTAGTTCGCTTTTTGCAAATCACTCCCGTTCTAATGAAGTTTTCACTTCAGAAATGAAACAAAAAATGAGAGAAGACAAGAAACGTATTTGAAAGTTTATTTCATAGTAATATATATATATATATATATGTATGAATGAAACACGAAATTATGCTTCGGTGTAACATCTTGCCAAGTTTACACGTATATCCCGTAACGCATCTTAAATGCAGTACCGCAAAACGCGGCTTACATGGCTCAAAACCATTTGCATAAAATCATATCTATACTTTGCGGTTTGAATGATAAAGTGAGAAAGAGAGAAAGAGAGAAAGAGAAAGAGCAAGAGAGAGAAAGAGAAAGAGTACGTTGACACAAGTCCTCCCTCAGAAAAGAAAAAATAAGATTATTCAATTTAGTTTCTTGTTACTAAAGTTAGAAGAGCTTTTGAAATTCATTTAGACAAAACTTATTATCAGATTTATTTTACAGATATTCATGTAAGATTAATTATTATAAAATATAAGTTGTGAATGGTCATTTTTATTTTTGTTAGATATAATACGTGTCAGGTTTTTGAAATAAATTAAGTGATTGATTAAGTAAGATAATTGAAATTTTTTGTTATATTTATTTTTAATAGAATGAAGTTAACACTGTAATGTGACAAATTTACAAATTAATTTATTATTTTAATAATAATAAATTTATTGAATTAATTTAATTATTTTGTAGATAAATAATTATTCAAAGTTGTAACAATTTTGGTTCTATAACTATAAATTTTTTTTTTATTAAAATATTTATTTTTAAAGTTGTAACAAATTTTTTTCTATAACAAAATTCCATAAAAACCTAATACGTGTTAATTATCTTTAAAAAAAAAACATACACACACACACAACCATCATTTAAAAGATCATAATTAAAATAGAAAAACCAAAAAACAGCATCAATTAATAAAAAACAAAAAACAAAAAACAAATCAAACAAATACAATACATGTTATACGATACGAATATTCATCTATAAAATAAAAATAAAATAAATAAATTCGTTAAAAAAAAAAAACGTGTTTCGTTTCGCAGATTCGATTATTCGATCATCGTGTTTGTCGAGTCGTCACATTGTCCAAATTTAAGAAGTTCATTTAAAACGTTCTAAAAAAAAAAAAAAAGTTCTCGGAGTGCGCGTAAAAAAAGGGTTTATTCGGGTCATAGTGGAGAAGAAAACGGGAATTCACGATGCCCCCCATAATAGGGGAAACTCTACGTGTGTGGTTTCTTTCGGCGTTGGTGGTTCACGGTGCGGTTGCCGGAAATCCGGACGCGAAACGTCTTTACGACGATTTGTTGTCGAATTACAACAAATTAGTGAGACCGGTTGTAAATACGTCGGACGTTCTACGAGTGTGCATCAAACTTAAATTATCCCAGCTGATCGATGTGGTAAGTTTATTTTTGTTTATAAACAAATATACATTTCTATTTCTATGTTTGTGTAAGATCATAATCACATAAACATAATACTACAATGAATATAATTTTTTAATTACTTTTAATTACTTTGATAAAATATGATCTTCACCATTGAAACTTAAAAATGTAAAAAAAAACAAAAAAAAAATGAAAAAGAATATAAGAATAAAACAAGTGAGGAATGAAGAATGGATGTGGTGGAAGGGTAGGTGGGATAGATGGATGGATGGATGGGATTCTACCAAGTGTCCCTGTCATATTTCATAGCAAGCAAAATGTCCCTTAATGTTGGTTCACGTTGTAAAAGGGAAAGGGATTGAGAGTGAGAAAGTAATAATGTTGGAATTTAAACTAAACGAGTCTTTTACTAACACATACTACTACCCCATTTCTTAACACAATCACATAATCTATATAAACCGGAAATACGTTTTGGGTATCTTTAGAGAGGTCTAAACGTTTTTCTTTAACTTTCATGAAAAAAATATTTTCAGTAAAATAAGGGATGTTATCATTTTTCCTGTCTCCATTATTTTTTATTTTTATTCATCTCAACCCCTGTCTTTTTCCTCCTCTCCCCAGCCCACCACTTCCCCAACTCCTCAACTCTCTCATCACTTTCTTCACTCTCCAAACCTCCCATCATCTTCTTCTCCACTCCTCAACCTTCTCATTTTTTTTTTTATTATTATTCTCTGTCTTTCTTTTTTGATGGAACAAAAAGGTATGAGATTACTTGGGACAGAATTATAATCCCCTCCCTTCATCATCCCTTCCCCCTCCACTCTTATCCAAGTTTGTAGAAGCCGTCGAACCCGTTTTGGATTTTATTCGGTCGAGGTGAGATAACTCGTTGGGAAGATTGAAACGAATTAAAGGGATAAATTATTCCAACTTGGTTTTCCTGAAAACCGTAACACTGCTGTTGCTGTTTCTGTTGCTGCTGTTGCTTTTGCTTTTGCTGTTGATGATGATAATGATGATGTGGTAGTAGTGGTAGTAGGTAGTTGGTAGTGGTTTTAGTGATCGTCAAGGTATTATGATAATCAGGATGTGATATCCGTCAGGGACGATAACGTATCATAAATTTCCTACTTCGTCGAGTTTCACGTTTGCTAAAGCTCGATTCTATCTGTTCGACAAATGGTCCGATTAATCGTGGCAAACATAGCGGTAAATCGCGACAGGCTGATTTCCAAGGATTTACGGGAGATACTTTTTTTTATTCTTTAAAAAAAAAAAAAAAACTAGAAAGAATAAGAAAAGATAAAGAAGAGAGAGAGAGAGAAAGAGAGAATATTAACTTATGTTTAGGAACATTTTTTTGTACTTTGAACTATGTTTCAATTTTTTTTTATTAAGACGCGATTAATAATTTTTTGACGATTTAAATAATATTTAATAAATTAAATTATGTTAATTATTATATTATTTTATATTAGATAGAATTATTTATTATAAAAAAGTAAATATAAATTAATAAATAATTATACAATATTATAAATTAAATTATATTTAATAATTATAAATATTTAATATATAAATTATATTATATTTAATAAGTGTAAATATTTAATAAAATAAATTAAATTATTTTTAATAAGTAAAAATATTTACAACAAAAAATTTAAAAAAATTTTGAACAATTTAAAAATATTTTATTCAAAATTGGACTTTTTTTATAACACCCCAACAATTAAAGATAATTTAAATAATTATATAAAAATAAACAAATTTAATTAATCATTCATTTTATTCAAATTATTATGTCATATTTTGTAATTTTCTAATGTACGAAATTTTTCCAGATCTTCGAATTTTCGAGATCGATTTATAAAATATTATACATTATGATTGTAAAGAAACCTTTTTGATAAATATTGATCTACCAGTACAGAAAAAAATAGAAAATGAAGGAGAAGGGATGAAATTAAATATTCCCAGAGATCATTGAACCTTGCCGAAAGTATTTTAGGTTATCAAATGAGATTTCACAGAACTTCGATGATACTTTTCACTCTCTTTTTTTTTTTTATTTATTGTTTTATTATTTTTTTTTTTATCTTCTGCTCTTTATTTGTATTATTTTCGTAGCTCAAATATAAACGAGTGGGGAAGGGTAAGGGTATAAACGATTTCAACGAAGCTGAGGACAAAGCTAAGGGTGGAAATATTCGAATTATTTCTGAACGTGTATTAGAATGATTTACGAAACGATTAAAAGCATAATACAATACCATAAGCTTACAGAAAATGATTCAAATAACGGATTGTGTTATTTCAATTAAAACATGTTAACCAAAATTAAACGTTAACGAATACCAACATTCTTCTTTGTGTAAATACTTTCCCATTATACATATACTAGGGGTGCCTCTCCACGCGTTGCTGTGGCTCACAATCAGTTCGATACACACGTATTTAATTCGAAAATTTCAAACTTTTTTGAATAAGCTGTAACAAACTGGACCATTCTTGTAGGTTACATAAAACGTTTGTACTTTTAACATGGCGCCATCTATTGGATACTTACTCAATCCAGTCAACGAATTACCTTAAACCGCCATCTGTTAGAATCTTACCGAGCTAACAGAGATAATCATGACTCTTCGTTAATAAAAAAATAATTCGATTGTAAATTGAGATATAAACTTTTCTATCTTTCGAGTTGGATGAAACTGCACACAGTGTGTAAAATTTTGTTAAAATCGGTTCAGTAGTTTAGGAGTCCATTGCGGACAAACAACGTGACACGTAATTTATATTTAAACCTGTAATCGTTTTTATTTATTTTGTTGTTGTTGTTAAACAATCGTTCAAATAAAAATGTGCAAAATTTGTCAAATGATACACCTGCCATGAAACCTTGTGAACGTTCGTTTCAAATCTTTCACATACTTGCCTACTAACGTTGAAGTATTATTTCCATTAACACGTACAGAAACCACTATTTGGCTTTTGACCCCCTCAACTTCACCTTCACCTCCCCTCTTTTACACTTTGCCTCGCGCGTCGTTGACTTTACCGTTCTTGTAAATTACACGGAACGATGCAAGGGACCGAGTTACGTTTAAATTGCAACCCTTTTTCCCTCAGTTTCAACCGCATCGAACCGTTGAAATTTCATCGAGAACGATTTTCCTTTTTCCAATACTTCGTTTGCTTTATTTAAAGTATACTTTCTTTCTTTATTCCTTTTTTTTTTCGTTTTATTTTTCTTAGTGGCAGGTTCGATTACTTTCCTTTTCCGATTTTCCAATAGAATTCGATTATGTATTTCTAGAGGAACACGTTGCAGGATAAAACATCGTAAACTCTGCTTGGATAAACCTATCGGTTGGTGTTTATTTGTCAGAAATCAAATATACATATATATATGTATATATATACAAGGATGCTGAATCACTAAGTTACTGTAAATTTATTATAAAATGTTTATTTCATATAATTGTAAACTATTTAGTAAATTGAAAAAACACTCAAAATAATAATACTACGAAAAAATATAAAAAGTAAGGTTAGTTATATCAAAATAATGGAATTGTAATACAGCACCATCTATTGAATACTTACAGAACTTAAATAACCTCTAAATAATACATCTTTAAATTAGCAATAAAAAATATAAATAATCCTGATAAAAATTGACTTATATATAAAGTTGAAAAAAATCAAATAAGTTTGACAAGATATATAATACATGTAATAATGTTTTATTGTTATATGATAGTTTATACAATATACTGTATATATAATAAGGTTAAACTCAAATGTGTGAGTACGTTTTTAAATTAATATTTATAAAATATGTTTCACAAAAATAAATCCCAACATGCAATCTATGACACAATTTATAACAAGTATATATACAGTAAATTTTTTGGTTCACTCTAATGTATTATAGTTATTTACAGAATCAATAAATGTGTAACAAAAGTGATAGCTTTATGATATTTGTATATTATATTTGATGATTGGTATATGATATTTGTACTGTATATGATTATCAGAGATAGATATATATATATTATACAGTGTGAACTGTATTATTAATCAACGTTTAAAATACTTCGTGATAATTGTCACAAATGTAAACAACGTTGAATATTTCATTTTTCTTATTTTTTCTATTTATCCTAAACGACTCTACTTCACACGGTTTTTATACTTGGAGTTATATTTAACGAAAAAAAAAAAACAAAATACAGTTAAATTTTTTTTTGTTTCTATTTTAACAACGTAAAAGTGTTCAATCAATAAATTTGTCAATTAATATTATATTTGTTCATTTATAAAAAGTATATTTTAGTTTGTAGAGAAAGTTTATCATTTAGTTGGAGACTATTTGGCGGAAAGATTATTTAAAGAATGCACATATACTGTATATATATATACTTTGAAGAAGTTTTACAATAGAAAATGGAACAGAAAGAGGTCTTATTCTTCTTTCATTCTTTTCTATCGTTGCATTCGTCCTCTGTCGGTCATATTTGTCCGTCGTAGTAAATAAGTACATGAAAGTTAAACACAAGTAAATATATATACATAAAAACACACACATACACACACACACACACACACACACACAAACACACATATATATCCTTTAGTGTAAAAGAAGTTGAGATCAAACAACCATTTTCTTTTCTCTTCTTTTAAAGAATCTTTTTTTTTATTATCAGAATTTGTTGATATTGTAAAACAAAATAAAAAATAATTAAACAAAATAAAATTTATGATGTTTCATATGGTGCAATTTTTAATGACATAAAATTTTCTATTTGATTATTTTATTCTTGACTATAGTTGTTGTTCAGAAAAAATTTTCATTTTTAGGTTAGTTCAGTAAAAAGATGGTTCAAAATAGACAAATATTGCTTGGACAATAAAAGACAAGCTTTCGTTGCAAGCACGAGGTTATTTTGAAAAGAAAAGAATATAAAATAAAATAAAAATAAAAGAAAAATGGG